CTTCAGCCCGTACAGGCTCTTTAGCAGCTTGCACACCCGGCCGGTCCCGTCGTTGAAGTAGTCCGGCTGGTACATGTACAGCACCCGGTCGAGCTTGCTCTGCAGGAAGGCGTTCTTCATGTCGAGCTGCATCAAGTTGAGGTCGAGGACAGCGACGATGCTGAGGAAGATCCTCGGCGCGTACGTCTCGTTGTAGTCGGCGCCATACACCTGCGTGAAGCCCTTCACGACCAGCCTCGCCTTCTCGCGCTCGACTGTGTCATCGATGCGGTACTTCGTAGTCAGCACCCACCGGTTCTTCATGATGTTGACGCCGGGAGGCCGCTCAACGAGCTCCCACGTGCCGTTCGCGATGAGGCTTCGTATCTCCTCGTCCATGGCGGCCTTCACTGCCTTGCCCTTCCAGCTCGCCAGCGCCTCCTTCACCGTCATCATGGAGATGTCCCAACGGTGCTCGGGGTCGGCGTGCATATCAGGGTCGAGATCCGGCAGGTCCTCATCCTCCTCGGCGTCGTCGTACGCCAGGTCGTCGTCGTCATTGTCGTACAGCGTGGTGAAGGCGGCCGGCGGGAGGCAGACATGGTAGGTTAGCCGCTCATGCGGCCTCCGGACTCGTCCTGAACGTCGCAGCTCAGGCTGCTCGGAGCTGACCTCCACTACATCGCTGTCCGTAGACTGCCCGGCGTTCGACTGCTCCCCTTCAGCTTTGCCGGCGTCCGTCGAAGTCCCAGCCGACTTCTCTGTTGCCGGAAACTCCCCTGCGGCTTCCCCGTTCTCACCTCCCCTGTCGGCGGCTTCCCTGCAGGCGCCCCCTTCGCCGACTTCACCTCCGTCGGCGTTGACTCCTCGGCCTGCTGCTCCCCTGCCTTCGGCGGCTCCGTATCCGCGCAGACTTGTGGAACGCCACTGCGGCCACCGGCGATGCCTTCGGCCGGCGCCACAGGCAACGCCCCACCGCTCCCCTCATCACCGGAGGCCGACAACAGCGTCGGCGCATTCAAAACGGCCACGGGAGGGGAAATGGCAGGGGTAGGGGAAGAAGGGAGGACTGCTCGGCGTCCTCTTCAGCAGGCCCACCGACCACTGCGAGCAGAGGGAGTGTCGCGGTGGAGGAGTCCGTCGGCGAGGGAGCCGGCGTCCGCCCCGACGCCGGCCCATGCATCGACGTCCACACCTCCAGCGACATGGTTTCGTAGAACACCACGTCCGACGTGGTGACCATCCTGTTGTCAGCGATGTCAAGGAGCTCCCAGCCCTTGCTCGCCTCCGACACGCCGAGGTGGAGGCCCCACTTGGCCTTCGGCTTCAGCTTCCCACCGCGCAGCCGCTCGGGGACGAGGAACTGCGCCATGCAGCCCCACACGCGTGCCAGCGACAAGTCGGGCTTCTTCCCAGTGAGCAGTTGGTAGGGCGTCGTCCCCGGCGGCAGCGACGAGCGCTCCAGGCAGTTGTCACGGGGCAAGGACGCAGGTCGGTGCAGAGAACCCGGCCGGAGTACGTTGCTCGACCGAGCACGTCGCCCGTCGCCGAGACGAGCAGCATCCCGTCGCCGTCGTCCTGCAGCTTCACGCCGTTCTCCTTCAGCTGACCGGCCGACAGCAGGTTCGCGTGCACGCCCGGGACGTACAGCACGTCGGGGATGAGCACACGCTTCCCGGCCTCCCCTTGCAGCGCAACCGTGCCCCGTCCCTTCAAGAACGTCCTGCAGCGCCCCATTGAAGCCGCGCACGTGTTTAACGTCGCCGCTCGGTCCCAAGTCGACAAAGGCGTCCTTCGTCCCCATCAGGTGGTGCGAGCAGCCGCTGTCCAGCAGGACCACCGCCGGGTTCGCCTGCACGGCTGCTGCCACCGCCTGGAAATCCTCACCGGCCTCCGGCGCCAGTGAGACGGTCGGCTCCACGACGCCGACCAGCGAGCACGACGCCTCCCCGTCGCCTCGCCCCTTGCCGCTAGTGGAGGAGTCGACGTCCTTCGCCGTGGTCGTCTGCGACTGCTTCTCCTTGCGCGGCTGGTTTCCGCGACGTGGACGACGGCTGACCGACCTCCCGCGGCCTCCCTTTGCGTCATCGTCGTCGGATTCGCTGCGGTCGGGACACTCAAAGGAGAGGTGATCGGGGCTGCGGCAGATCCAGCACTCCCGACGCCGACCTCCTCCTCCGCGACCGCCTTCCTTCGCCGACTTACCCTTGTCGGCGTCCTTGGCCGGCTTCCCACCTCCGCTACCACCGCCGCCAGGCTTGCCGCGCTGCCCTGGTCGGCTACCTTGCTTTGCCGGGGCCGCGTATTTCGCCTGCAGCAGGAGCTCTGAGGACTTCTCGGCCTCCTGCATCGACTCATCCCGCAAGATGTACGAGGTTAGGGAGTCCTCGTTCAGCGTTGAACGCGTGCTCGGCACCACCGACAGCCGCTTCAGCAGGTTGTAGCTGCTTGGGAGTCCCTTCAGGACGTGCGTGACGTACGACGCCGTGGAGTACTGCACGCCGGACATCCTCATGGTGGCGAGAAGTCGCCGAGCCCGGTTGCAGTAATCGGTCGCAGTCTCCTGGTCGCCCATCCGCAGATGCGTGATCTTCTCCTCGAGCTGGCCGACGTACAGGTCGTCGGTGACCTGATACGTCAACTCGATGAAGTGCCACGCCTGGTGGCCGGCGTCCAGGTAGTCCCTGCACGACTTCAAGGCGATCTGCACGCCCGGCGAGCAGCACCGCGAAATGACCGTGAAGGTCAGCAGCTGCACAACGCGAAACTCCGCACGCAAGTCGGGGTAGATCTACTCCGGCGTCACCACGGCGCCGCGGGCGAAGCCGATCAGCCCAGCCATCTCCAGCTGAGGCTCGATCGCCTCCTTCCACGTGAGGATGTCGGGTCGACCGACGAGCAAGGGGGTGACCGAGATCCTATCCGGCGCATACTTGAAGTAGCCGTAGCTCGGTGCAATCCATCCTGCCGTCACGTGTGACGCCGACATCGGCGCCAATCCACTTCGTCGGCCTCCGACGTCGCCCTGCGAGGCCCCTGCAGCCGCCGACGACTGCATCCCTCGCGCCTGAACGCCGCCGACTTCCCCGGTGTGAATCACTCCTCTCGGCCTCGACGTGCCTCCCGCACTGCTGCCGACCTGATCACCAGCGTTGACGCCCACGTCGACGCCGCCTGCGTTGTTCACCGGTCGAGGAGACGCCGGTCGAGAAGGGTGCTCCGCCGCCCACAGAGCGCGGATGCCAGCCTCGACGACCGCCAGCGGGAGAGTCCCGTACTCGTTCGCCGCATGGCGTCTCCTCGCATCCTCTAGCCGTGCCTCCAAGGTGTCCAAGATGCCCGCCTCAACTACGGGGTCCACCATGGCGTCCAAGCACGACCGCCGGTCTACGAACTAGCTAGGTGAGGCGAAGTCGGCTAAAATGAGGGTGACGTCGCGGTGTCGTCCACGCTCACCGCACCATGCGGAGATAACTCTGTCAACGGGAGCTAGACTACGGCCTAGGCACGGAGCTTGAGTGATCTCTGCGTTCGTTCCTTAGTCGTTTGCTTGTGTTCTCTCTACGCACACATTCACGGGGAGAATTGGCAAGAGTTTCACTAGCAAAAGTTCACAAGAATTAATGGCAACAACATTGGCATGCAAGGCTACATCAGAGCTAGCACAGCTGCTGGTCGACTTCCAGCGCAGCATGGTCGACCGCGGTCCAGCGCAGCAAAGCTAGTACCACTCCAGCGCAGCAAAGTAGCGGCTTGCCAACGTCGCAAGTCTGCGGTGCGCCAACGCTGCAGCAAGGCGGCTGCACAGCGTTGCACCCGCAGGACAACGGTGCACCTGCTTCGCAGGTGTGCGCGGCTGGTTGGCGTCCAACACCCCGTCACGTGCCCAGCGCAGTCAGTCCGCCCGTGACGACGCCCACCTGCCACGTCGACCTCGGGATACCACCCCCGAGGTCGTCCACGCAGACACCACCCCCCGGCGACCTTCGCACATGTCGCCCGGGTATCCCGGTCGACCGGGCAACCCCGCCTGGTCATCCAGCCCAGTCCGTCGCCAGCTACGCCAAGCCCGGCGTCCCCAGGTCGGCGTCCTGGCGTCCAGGTCGGCGTCCACTTGCCCAGGACGCCGTCCAGGTGTTCAAGTCGGCGTCCCACCTCCCAGGACGCCGAGCAGACGCCCAGGACGGCGTCCAGGAGCCCAGGACGCCGAGAAGACGCCTAGGTCGGAGTCCAACCTCCTGGGATGACGTGCAGACGCCCAGGCCGGCGTCAACCTGCTTGGCGCCCTCCATCTCAGCGCTCTTGCAGTGGCCCCCGTGCCCACTGCTATTGGTCGGCTGCATCCCCCTCACATCCGACCACAAGGTCGGCTCCGCCCAAGCGAGGACGGGGCCATACAACTCTCCCGTTGACACGCGCCGCCCTCCTCGCCATGCACCGCCCTAACCTGCCCTGCGTGCTTCCCTAGTGCATGCGTGCCGCCTTGTCCGTCGCGCCGTCCTGCTGCCTGCGTGCTGCCCTGCTCGTCACGTGCCACCTTGCTCTGCTAGCTATGGCTACCCTCAGCGTTCTCACCTTCGATCCTGAGGGTCGTCCGATCCAGTTTGATACATGGCCTGACGACTTACAGCTGTACCTACTGAGCGATTCTAAAGACGGCGTCTCGTTGTTTGATCACACGTCTGGCCTCTCTTGCTCCTCCCGACACAGCTGACAGTGCGACTCGCTCACAGTGGCTTACCCGTGACGCTGCTGCTCGCCTAGCCGTTCGCAACCACGTGCCTTTAGCCGAACGCGCTCACTTTGGCCAGCTCAAGACTACTAAAGCCCTATTCGACGATGTAGTCGCTCGTTACACCTCCCCTCCAACTGCTGCTCTCGGCCGCCTTATACTGCCCTACCTGTTTCCGGAGCTGTCCGCCTTTGCCACAGTCGCTGACCTCATCACCCACCTTCGCACTAGCGACACTCGCTACCGCGCCGCGCTTAAAGCCGAGTTCCTAGACAAGAACCCGCCCCCGATGTACATCACTCTCTACTTCATCGTCACCCGCCTCCCTGACTCTCTTCGCGCAGTCAGGGACCACTTTCTCGCCCTTGACCCCACAGACCTCACTGTCGACGAGCTCAAGAAGCACCTCCTTGCAGCTGAGACTAGCATAGTCGCTGTAGGTGCTGCTCGTGGCACTCCTCGCACTCCCTTCTTTGAGGGGTGTTCCCCCTCCCCCCTTGCCCCTCCTACACTTCTACTGCTGCTGTTGACTTCCTTGGTGCTGAGGAGGTTGGGGCTGCGTCTGCTCCTAGTGGGAGGCGCCACAGCGGCAAGGGAAAGGGAGGCAAGAGTAGTGGAGGTGGCGGCAGGGGAGGCGGTGATGGGGTTGGTTGCGGCGGTGGAGGTGGCGGTGGTGGCGGTGGGAGTGGTGGCGGGAGTGGGGGCGTCGGTGGCGGCGGTGGTGTCAGCGGTGGGAGTGGTGGCGGCGGTGGTGGCGGCAGTGGGAGTGGTGGTGGTGGTGGTGGCAGCAGTGGGAGTGGTGGCGGCGGCAGTAGTGGCGGTCGGAGTGGAGCCGTTCAGAGGGGAGGTTCTGGCGGTGGCCAGAGGCAGCAGCAGCAGCGTCCGCGCGAGACCCTTACGCCCCAGCAGCTTCGTGAGTGGTTTGCTCAGCGTGGGGCGTCTGGGGGTAGTGTTCGCTGCCCGTACGTCATTCGCACAGGTGACCGCGCTGGTCAGACATGCGGGAAGGTTGGTCACTCGGAGAACCGCTGCTTCTCCCGTCTTGACGACGCTTGGCGCGCAGAGTTTCCTAACGCAGCTGAGCTCCCCCGCTTGCTAGATCTGTTTAGGTCTGGTGTTGATATCTTTGCTCTTGACTATGACGCTATCCTTGCTGCCATGTATGCTTTGACTGTTAGTGCGGAGGGTGACTGTTACCTGTGTCTGCCACCCGACCCAGGTATAGAGGCTGCTGCTCTAGGTGCTAGTGAGTCTTCTCTCTCTGGTACTGCGCCTGCTGAGTCCTTGTACACCTTGACACTTGACTTAGGTGCTTCCCGCTGTTTCTTTCGCGACAGTACCACAGTCACACCATCCCTCCACCTGTTGCAGTCTCTCTGGCTGACCCCTCAGGGGGCCCGGTTCTTGCACGTTCCTCCACTGTTCTCCCGTGTCCGGCGGTTCCGTCTGGCTCACTGTCAGGTCTTCACCTCCCCTCGTTCTCAACGAACTTGGTGAGCAACGCAGTCCTTCAGGATGCATGGGTTGATACCTTTACCCATGGAGGGCATCGTGTGGCGATCTGTACGGGCTCCCGGACTGACCGTCTCCTGGCCACGTTCACCCGTCGGCCTGGGTCGAGCCTGTACACACTGACTACTGAGCAACCCCAGGTAGCTGCGTCTGGTCAGGTGTCCGCGTCAGGTCAGGTAGCAGCCCCCTGCTCGTGTCACTTTGACAGCTTACGACGAACTCATTTCTCAACCAAACACAAATCCGCTCGATAGAATTGTGCGCCTTAGGCAAAGCTACCATCTTCAATTCGAATCACTTAAATAGATTGTCAAGCAGACCGCACGACTAGAATGGTGGAGGAAGTACAAGCATTGAGGCATAGAATGTTGGATTTGGGGACTCCAAGAGAACCATAAGAGGGAAGGGGCTCTCCAAGAGCTAGAGAAGGATAGTAGGAACCTTCCCAGCAGCAAGGATGCAACCGTCATCATAAGCTCCTTGAGGTGTCACATGCAAAATCCAATCTAGTTGGATTTTGCCTAGGTGTTGCAACATTTGCAACCCATGCTAGAAACTTCGAGCCACCCCAATTCAGAATTTAAAGTTGCCTTCCTAACCACCCAGCCAAAGATCCGTTTATAGTCATGTCACAGTAATCGCCCAAAGTGCGTAAGATCTCAAAATGAGATAGAATTCCCAAAACTTGGAAATCTTGTAACTTGGGCGATCTTGGTCGCAATAGGGCGATCTTGGTATCGTTGGAAAGCTCTGGATTTCTCCTGCATGATAAAGCATGTAGACTTGGAGAGAAAACAGAGATGATAATGTCCAACACACATGCATAATGATATGTGCCCATGCAAATTATGCAAGCACAAATGGCACGAGCACTCGGCAGGACGTTAGGATGACATGCACTCAGAATGACGTGCATCCAACAAATTCCCCCTCAGACTAACGAACTACATGCACACACACTCACAAACATGCATACACTCATGCAAAAAAAAACCCATGCACTCATGACACTGCTGCCCACACTAGTGCAATATCATGCCACACATATTTGTATACTCCTAGTACCAACGACACGAGTAAACAACGCACTTACACTTAGTACCAACCACATGGGTAGGCAACGCACATTCACTCAGTACCAACTGTACGGGTATGTAACGCACGTACTTTAAGTACCAACCACACGGGTAAAAAACCCACTTCTTTTAGTACCAACCATAAGGTAAGTAACGCACTTAGTCGTAGTAACAACAGTATAGGTAAGTAACACACTTATACTGAGTAAAACCACACGGGCAAATAATGCACCTACTCTTAGTACCAACCACAGGTGAAGGTACCGCCACCGACTCTCAGTACCGACCATAAGGGTAAATAACGCACTTACTCCTAGTACAAACCACATGGGTAAGTAGCGCAGCTACACTTAGTACCAATTACACGGGTAAGTAACGCACCTACTCTTAGTACCAACAACACGGGTAAGTGATGTTGTGCCAACACACTATAGTGGCACGGTCATCGCACTCCCATTCAGCCTACAAGCCTGTTCAGCTTCTTGAATATTGTGGGGCGGTTCTTCAACGTGTCTTTATCAAACCCTCAAAGTGTCAGATGTTTTGAAGCAGTTAACAAGGCATGACAACATTTTAAGTTTCAAGACTTATGGCATTCCGGAAGTGTGTGTTACTCTTTTTGGTAACACCCGAGTTCACCATTTCGGCTGCTGACTCGTCTAAGAGGCTCTGATTGGTCTGAAAATTGGTGTGGAAGTCTTTTGCCGCGTTATGCAGTTGGTCACCAAGTTTCATGACAACCCAGCATCGGAGCAGCGCGTGACAGCTGTCGAAAGTCACTGTTCCGTAGTCATGGTGCACTGTTGGCAGCATTTCCCTTGTCACCCTTTCATTGTTGTCATGCCAATGGTGCAGGGACAGAGAATGAGACAAGAAGTACAGGTGGTCAAGTGGGACTCTACCACCCTCCTTTTGAGAAGTGTGGTCTTCCTGGAAGCAGCTTGCAAGAGCGTGCATGTGGGAAGACAAGCTGACTCATGGTTGGCTTGACTCACTATTGGTAGCCTTGAGTACAGCTCTGAACATCCAAGTGTGGTTGGCTTTGCTGACCTAGCTAGGACGTTTCCCATCCTTCTCTAGCCTTTCTCCCCTAGGACTCAACCTTCTCTGAGTTCCCAGGATGACCCCAATCCCTTAAGAGTCCCTTAAGCAATGTTGTACTCACCTCTTCCTTGCATCAATGAAACTACACGTTTTTTACCCAAGCTTACGTTTTCGCTCACTGCGTAGCGCGTACACCTCTGCTGAAATCAAGAAATATACCGTTGGAAAGCAGACACCTAAAGCTAACTTCTTTTCAAGTTTCAGCCTCGTATGTTATCGGAGCTGATCTTTTGAACAGAGGCGGTTTGAAGTCGTCAGATTCTGCTTAGGCGGTTTCATGGGCATCCGGACCCCTACGTTGACTCTAGACTATAACAAGTGACGCACTTACACCTAATACCAACTGTCAACAGGAGTTGTGTGTTGGCCCCGTCCTCGCTTGGTCGGAGCCGGCTTCGCAGTCCGATGTCCGGGGAGCGCATCCGGCCAGCCGCAGTGGGTGACGCCGACTTGGGCGCGCATGTCGACAAGTCGGTCGACGTGCACGGGGCCACTGCGACGCCCGACGACAAGGAACCGGTGGCCGACTTCAACCCTCCGATGGTCAACGAAGGGAGTTGTTGACCAGGGAGTAGCGTCGACTTGGTGACGCCGACCTGGGAAACTGACTTGGTGCAGTCGGCGGACAGCTGACTTGGCTGACCAGAAAAGGTCAACTTGGAAAAGTGGTCGACTTTGTATAGCCGGCAGAGGGTGGTCTTTGACCTGGGCAGAAGACGGGCACGAGGAGCAGCACTTGATCGTCACTTGCTCCTCGTGCCTGTTGACCTGCATGTTTGTCAGCATCTGATGTAGTTCATTGTTGCTCTGCTTGTTCAATCATTGTACACAACTTTTGCTAGTGAAAGTTTTGTCAATTCTCCCCGTGAATGTGTGCGTAGAGAGAACACCTGCAAACACACAAGGAACGCTACAATCACTCCCTCCACCGTGCCCTTTCCATGGTCTAGCTTCCATTGTAGTAGTTATCTCCGCACTAACCACAAAGATAAGTAACGCACTCTCTCTTAGTACCAACCACTCGGGTAAGTAACGTAGTTCCACAAAATTCCAATCGCACAAGTAAGGAATGCACCTACTCTTACAACCAACCACATGGGTAATTAATGCATTTACACTTAGTACCAAATAGACGAGTAAGTAATGCATTTACAACAAGTACCAGCAACGCGGGTAAGTAACGCATTTACTTTTAGTATCAACCACACGGGTAAGTAACGCTCTTACAAACCATACGAGTAACAACCACGCGGGTATACTTTTAGTACCAACCACAAAGGTAAGTAAGGCACATACTCTCAGTACAAACCGCAAAGGTAAGTAACGCACATACTCTCAGTACCAACCACAAGGGTATATTCTTAGTACCAACCACACGGGTAAGTAACGCACTTATTCTTAGTACCAACCATACGGGTAAGTAACGCACTTATTCTTAGTACCAACCGCATAAGTAAAGAACACACTTACTACTTAGTACCAACCAGACGGGTAAATCACGCACTTACCAGCCACATGGGTAAGCAACGCACATACACTTAGTACCAACCACACAGGTATGTAACGCGCTTACTCTTAGTACCAACCATACGGGTAAGTAACGCACTTCCTGTTAGTACCAACCATAAGGGTAAGTAACGCACGTACTGTTTGTACAAACAGACGGGAAATAATGCACCTACTCTTAGTACCAACTAGACGGTTAAGTAACGGGCATACTGTTTGTACGAACCACACGGGAAATAATGCACCTACTCTTAGTACCAACCAGACGGGTAAGTAACGGGCATACTGTTTGTACCAACCATATGGGAAATATTGCACCTACTCTTAGTACCAACCACGCGGGAAAGTAACGCACCTATTCTCGGTACCAGCCATAAGGATAAGTAACGCTCTTACTCCTAGTACTAAAAACTCGGGTAAGTAACGCAGTTACACTTAGTACCAACCATACAAGTAAGAAACGTGCCTACTCTTAGTACCAACCATACGGGTAAGTAACGCATTTATTCTTTGTACAAACCACACAAGTAAGCATTGCACTTACACTCAGTATCAACCACACTGGTATGTAACGCACTTACAATTATTCCCAACCATGCGGGTAAGTAACACACTTACTCTTAGTACCAACCATATGGGTAAGTAATGCACTTACTGTTTGTATGAACCACACGAGTAAGTAATGCATTTACACTTAGTACCAACCGCAAATGTAAGTAACGCACCTACTCTCAGTATCAACCACACGGGTAAGTAACGCACTTATTTTAAATAACAACCATATGGGTAAGTAACACACTTACTCTTAGCACCAACCGCACGGGTAAGTGACGCTCTTACTGTTTGTACGAACCAGACAGGTAACTAATGCACTTACAATTAGTACCAATTGCAAGGGTAA